GGCACAGAGCCACACCGCCAGAGACCTTCGCGCGCGCCGCTGCCGCGCGGGGGTCCTGTCGCGCGTCGTCCCCACCCTGCCGGGGACCTCCGCGTACCGCGCCGCCCGGCGGGAGTCCCGGCGCGCGGTGCCTGCCCGCCGCCGGAAGCGGCGCGTCGGCGGCGACGCCGCGGTGCAGGCAGCCCGCAGCGAGAGGCCGGAGCCACGCCCCTCGCGATGGGGAGGCCGGTCGGATGCGGTCGAGTGTGGCCCACTGCCTACCGTCACCATCCCGCCTGCCGCCAGCGCCGCTCCCCGGTGACGCCCCTGGCCAGACAAATTGAGCGGCCGGACGTCACCCCGGGTCCGACCCGGCCGAGCTGATCGCCGCATTATGCAGACGGCCGCCAGCGCCGCCTCAGCGGCCCTCCGTGCGCGGAAGCAGCACCATTACCTCGCACGCGCCGCCGCCTCCGGGTGTTGACCGGCCCAGCCCTGCCCTGTACGGCCCGGCGCGCGGTGCGGTGGACACACGCCTCGCACGCGCCGCCGCCTCCGGGTGTTGACCGGCCCAGCCCTGCCCTGTACGGCCCGGCGCGCGGTGCGGTGGACACACGCCTCGCATGAGCCAGCATGCCGAGGCTTGGTCCCATGACCGTTCCGTTATATCAGGGACACGGGGGCTGGCGTCGGGAGCGCTACAGCCGACCAGCTGGCAAAGCGCCTCCTCCTCCTCTGCCGTCCGTCGGAGGGAGCGGTCCAGCCGAGCGGCGGCGGCGGCGGCGGCGGCGGCGGCGGCGGCGGCGAGCAAGCGGCCGTGACCTAGGGCGGAGCAGTGGCGACCGAGCCAAGCAGCGGAGTCTCTCTGGATGGAATGGGACTGCAGGCGGACGGGGCGGGGGGGGGGGGGGGGCGGCGGAGGGGGAGGACGAACTCCTCGGCGCCAGCCAGGCGCGCATAACGTCGATATTGGGGCTATGCCAATTGGTAACAGAACGTCTCGTCCTTCCACCGTCCTGGACGGCGGAATGGGAAGTAGTGTAGAAGGTCTATATAGCGCGAGCACGGAACAGCGCGAGAAAATCAACGGAATTAGAAAGTGGCATAGCTGAAAATGAGTACGTGCTGAAGACACGCTATTAAAATCGGATTTTCACCCCATCTTTTGATAAACTTGCATGACGGACCTATGCGACTTGAATGATAACGAATTATCGACCTGAATCCAGAAAGCATTAAACAACCATTCCATGGTCGTTGATACCTCATGCCAAGACTCAGATGTAACCCTGAAAAATCGTCCAACTTTCAAGACTCTTCACCCCCCCTCCCCCCCCCCCCCCCCGCCCACACGCATAAAACGGCCTCACGCGACATCACATGAGCAGCTATCACAAGCCAGACACCCAACAATTCCCTCCAATATTAAATCGATTTCCTCGAATTCCACCCTGCCCAGTCTGGGCATGATCGATCAGACTGAGCATCATCGCCCGTCACGGACTAGTCGCATCCCAGCCGGCGCTGCCAGAGCCGCCGCCGCCGCCGTCGCGCCCCGCAGCGCCTCCGCTCCGGCGCTGATGGACGCATTCCTCGCAGCATCCAAATGCGAGACGCGGCGAGACGAGCGTCGTCATCGACACGCCGCGACCACGTCGCCCCCTGCCGCCGGCGCCACGCGCCGGTGGCGCCCTCCGCCCGCACAAAACGAGCGGCCGGCCGTATCGCAGAGGGCGCGCGGCCGGCGCTGATCCCGCCATTATGCAGATGGTCGCCGAGTTACGCCGGCGGAGCGGCAGTCGCTTACGGCACGGGCCGGCAGGCGCAAGAAATGGCGTGGCGGGGGCTGTTAACGATCATGTATGGCGTGCCTCCCTTCCCGCTCGCCGTCCCCGCCGCCCTCACAGCGGCTGACACAGCACACTCGCGGCACAGCAGAGGTCAGGACGCTGTGAGAATGGGGAGAGGGCAATCGCCGCCCCTTTCATCACAATCGCATGTCATGAGAAGAGGTTGCGGTGCTGCCAGGTTTGTCATACCTAATCTACTACTCATCTCCTGGTATGTCGCTCGCAACACGAGAATTCTCCGATTCCCTCCCCGGGTCGGCCTTTATCGACGCGTCAGACGTCCTTCGCTCAATCGACTCCGCACGGCAGCCACCGGTGTATGCCGACGTCTCCGGCCGCCAAGCCGCCCCGCAGCCGGCCGCGGCCGCTCCCCTCGGCTCCCGAGCGGATCCAGCCCGGCGGCCGGCCGTGCCGTCCCACCGGGCGGCGTCGGCGGTCGGCTCGCCCGTCACGTCACGTCGCGTCGACGCCGTCCAACCGCTTCCGGTCGCGGCATCCATTAGAGGCGCGCGGCGCCGCCAAGCCGGGCGCAGCACGACGAAAAACCGGCCACGGGCCGGGCGATCCATCTCTACGACGGGGCAGACCACGTGCCGGCGCCCGACCCACAATTACCGTATCCGGGGAGCGACCATGACGCGCCTCTCCAGCGGCGCGGCCCGCGAACATCAGCCCGCACGACCGCCGTTGGTCAGAACCTGACCGGAGGTGGTTGGCAGGGGCGCTGGGACGCTCTGCGCTCATCGGAAGAGATTGTGATTACGCAGCGCGTGCCCAGCAGCCACTGCGCCTGGAGTGACCAGATCCTGTAGCCCCACAGAGTGCCAATACTGAGGGATCGCCGTCCGGAAAACGGCACTCGAGGGCCGACTACAGACCAATCAGTCACTCGATCCTCGGATTCGGCTCCGTGATGGAAAACCTTCTCCTTTCTCCTCTCATCGGGTATGGAGTTCTCTGCTCCCACGCGCCCAGCTTCCAAGGTCGAGTCTACTTAGCTCGCGCTGAGTGGACCTCCATGCCATTCCGGACGCTCGGTGTCCGAGCTCGTGCGACGGACGACACATCGACGAGCGCGCCCCACGAGCGCGCCCCTCCGCCGCCGCCCGCCGCGCCGGCACGAAACGGCGAGACAGAGTGAAGCAGAGGAGAGCCCAGGCGCGGCGATTTGCGGGGCGGAAGCGGCCGGCGCTTATCCCGGCCGTGCACGCACCGCGTCGCCGCCGACGGCATCGATCGCCGCCGCCGACGGCCGCGTCGGCACCGACGACCGGCCAGGGTCGGAGTGGCGCGGAGAGGCGCACGACGATCGGCGAAGCTGGGCATGTGTGCAGGACTGCCGGGGGCGGCAAGCAGAGGAAATGCGTCCCACGTTCGTAGGAAGGCGTCTGCACACATTCGAGCTATGTTGCAAACAGTCCGGGCTCTCCACACCGCCGTGCCAGGGTGGCGTACTCATGACAACATGATCAAATCTGGATCTGCGCGAACACACTGCGCGAAGTCCTCCTTAGCTGTGCTGCAGAGCGCCATCAACCGTGTTTTTATCCCGCTGTTACGGATCCAAAACACAAAGGCTGTATGCAAAAGACCGGAAGGCTATATCGGAGAAGACTACCAGAGACAGGAAGCTTGTAGGAAGGGGTTTCCGGTAGCCGAGGTAATAGTAGGCTGTGGCATAACTAGGTCTGCTCTCGACGGCTCATGATGCCCACATACGTCCTTACCCAAATACGTCTCATTTCGAAAGCCTGACAGTGCCTTTTGTAACTGCATCGAAGACCAAATGTGAAACAATCCCCAGGGTGCCAATATATTCTACTTTATAGATTCCTTGACGAGTGAAACGACTAAACGCTAGAGTGAAGACGCTTCACTTTATGAAGGATGGCGATGGCATAGTGATCCTTCCATAACGGCGTCAGAGAACCGGTCAGGACTAATCAACCCGAATACAGACAAGTCGTTCAAAACACGTATCGTTCAGAATCTTTCCAAAGCATGCCATCTCTCTTACACAGCCAATCCACGCAGCTTGGAGTACAGCACTGAGCGAAATATAATGTGCCATGCTTTTGTGCAAAATCAGCACCCAAGTCCAAAATAGACCACCGCGACAAGCAAGGAACTATATGAAAGACCGCCCTCCCCCCCCCCCCCCCAGATCCCGCCTGCGACCCACGTGTATCACGCAGCACACCAGCCCAGTCGACTCTACCCGCAGCACCAGACCGGACCTGACCGCCGCACCACATCCAATGCATCAGGCTACCTTCAGCGGCGCGTCTGGCTTCGGCCGCGGGCCGGGCCAGGGAGGCCCGCGGGGCCCGGGCGAGGAGGCGGCGCCGCACCTGGCCGAGCGCGACGCCGCCGCGTGCCGACGCGGCGGCGGCTCAGATCAATGCCGGCGCCGGCGGTGGCGCCCCGGCCGGCCGGCAGAGGGCCGCCGCGCGTCCCGGTCCAGGCAGAACTCAGCAGTCGCCGGCCGCCGATCCGATCGAAGGCGTCCCATGGCCGCCCGTAATGTTTACCAACGGAGGACCGGAGTCCCCCGGGTGGGGGGTAGGGGGGCGAGCCAGCCAAAAAACAAGGATAAAAAACGACAGACAAAACACCAGGGAGTTGGGTTCTGTTCCAATCTGCCTGTCGACGTGGATGCGCTCCCAATATCTGAGTCATGCTTTGATGAAGGATTAATGCAAGCGCCTCAATAGCACGTACCAAAACATGGTGTACCTTCAGCAGTCTGCACAGCAACCCCTCCCCCCCTCCCCCCACTTACTATCTCCTCTACTACGCTCGCAAATCAACCAGTGGCGCAGCCAGGGGGGGGGGGGAGGAGTGCAATGGACCCCTCGAGGTGGCGGTGACATTCTGAAAACCGAATGTTCCAGTATTCTTCAGCGGTTTAAGACACCCGTAATGTTTCTAAAACATAAAAATACATCAACAACGCATAAAATGGCACCAAAATCCTAAACAGTACCATCAGATACCAAAACAGGGCCTCTATGCGAGAAAGAGGGGCCCCATTGGCTGCAAATCCCCACGTGACTCGATTTGGCCTCCACCTGAGCGAAATCCAGGCTATTCCACTGCCACCCATTGCCGTCTGGGGGACGGGGAGGCACGAGGAGGACAAGTTTCGTCCGCCGCCCGGCACGCCCTCACCGATCAGCGCCTGGAACAGTCGTGACTTGAAGATAAAGATGAGCTTCTCGATGGCGGCGGCCAACTGCAGCTCCTGGCCACCCACCAGCTGGCTGCGGTAGTCCTCCAGCAGCTCCAGCGCCCGGTGCGCATCTGTGGGCGCCGGCACCTGATGTCAGGTGGGATGCGGGGTGGACCGGCCGAACCGCAGGGGCGTCCGGACCAGACGGCGCCCGAACGATAAGCATGCGGGTCACGTTAACATTGATGACGTAATTAAACACCGCGTTCCTTGTGATTACTGCACCCTCGTTGGATTACCACGTGCTGAAACCAACAGCACTTGTGTTGCGCAATTTTGCATCACTGCCGTTCGATAACTCAGTGTTGCTGCTGTCGGGTAATTGACGGCCAGTGCTCCATAATTCAGCAGCGCCAGGGACATAGCAGCAGCATAACTCCACACAGGGCGCTGCACACGCCGCCGTCACGAGTGAACACAGGGCCCTCAGGAGCGGACCGTGGACACGGCACGACACGCCTCTGCAGCGCATGGCGGCGCCCTCCTCCCGTGTGCCACCCAGGGCGCCACAGTCTACCCCATTACGAATCAATCAAGGCCAAAGCCTAGGACGCCCGTCATCGCCCAGTCGGCCGCTAGTGCCGACGGCCAGCCGTGTGCGCGCCAGGCCGCTGCCGGCGCCGTGTAGACTGTGGCATGACCGCTGCCGGCTTCCGGTGCCGTGTGGACTACGGCATGATCCGGCTTCCGGCGCCGTGTGGACTACGGCATGATCCGGCTGTCGGCGCCGTGTGGACTACGGCATGAGCCGGCTTCCGGCGCCGTGTGGACTACGGCATGAGCCGGCTTCCGGCGCCGTGTGGACTACGGCATGATCCAGCTGTCGGCGCCGTGTGGACTACGGCATGAGCCGACTTCCGGTGCCGTGTGGACCGTATGAGCCGGCTGTCGGCGCCGTGTGGACCGTATGAGCCGGCTGCCGGTCGGCGACGACGAGGGAGGGGGGGGGGGGGGGGGGCGGACGGGCGGCTTGTCACCTATTACCGGCCGACGCGGCCGCCACCTGCACCCCCTCCCCTCCCCGCCCGGTTTGTCGACTGCCGGCCGCTCACGCGACCCGACCCGGCGCGGCACGGCAGGACGGGACCGCCCTCGGTCAGGGTCAGTCACGGCTGACGGCGGACAGCGCTCCCAGATTGCATGTGAGTGTTGTTTGGAGGCGGAATGCTGCGGGCTCTTTATCACCGATGAGCTTGGAACTCGATCGGCGGTGGGTAGGTTGGAGCGCTGCGGCGACGCACGCCTGCTGTCGGGCCACATAAAAAGGACGACGGTCGCAGAGCATTCTCGCTTTTGCTCAGCATATGCCCAACAATGATTTCGAGAGGCCACTACAGCCCATTACCCCCGCCCACCCACTACCTCCCTCGTGGCCTCACCGGCGTTGACCGCGTGTTCTGGCCTCTCCCAAGGGGAGGCAGGCGCCCTGAGCGGGCCCAGCGGCGACTGACCTTGCTTTTTGACGGGCATCCTGGCCAGCTGGCCCCGCGTCGGCTGCCGCTGAAACGGAAAAGCGGCCGCGTCAGATCGGCAACCTGCTGCCACCGATCCACCCGCGCCGGCGGCACACTGCAGTCAGGTCCGGCGGCGACCTCCTGACACCGACCCACCCGCGCCGGCGGTACACTGTAGTCAGGCCCGGTAGCGACCTGCTGTCACCGATCCACCCGCGCCGGCGGTACACTGTAGTCAGGTCCAGCAGCGACCTGCTGTCACCGATCCACCCGCGCTGGCGGCACACTGTAGTCAGGCCCGGCGGCGACCTGCTGTCACCGATCCACCCGCGCCGGCGGCACACTGTAGTCAGGTCCGGCGGCGACCTCCTGACACCGACCCACCCGTGCCGGCGGCACACTGCAGTCCGGTCCGGCTGCGACCTGCTGTCACCGATCCACCCGCGCCGGTGGTACACTGTAGTCAGGTCCGGCAGCGACCTGCTGTCACCGATCCACCCGCGCCGGCGGTACACTGTAGTCAGGTCCGGCTGCGACCTGCTGTCACCGATCCACCCGCGCCGGCGGCACACTGCAGTCCGGTCCGGCTGCGACCTGCTGTCACCGATCCACCTGCGCCGGTGGTACACTGTAGTCAGGTCCGGCAGCGACCTGCTGTCACCGATCCACCCGCGCCCGCGGCACACTGCATCGCTGGCGCTGCTGAGCAGCCGGAGGCTCAAATCAGCTGGCCGTCTGTCCCCGTACAGCGCGGCGCACTGGCAGCGGCCACTGACGGGACACCCGTGACATAGGCCGGCGCGTTGCCAACGCACTTCACCCGCGCCGCGAGCCGCTGGTGCGATGTCGGACGCGCGTGTGAGTAAACACTACAGCATTAGCGAGCCAAACGTCAACCACAGAACATAATGCGAGGCGTTATTGCACAGCACGCAGCGCATGCAAACGTGCTGTCAACACTCCTTTTCAAGAAATGTCATACAAGACGCAGTGTCCACATGCATATTATAAGTCTCAGGACGTCGTGCAGTGAAAGACGGTGTAATGTTGACAAATGGTACAATCCTTTACTGTCATTCCAGGAATGATCCCGGCGCTTTGTCAACGGTAAGGGGGCGAGGGTCGCTCCCCAAGCGTCCACCGCGCTCGCGCCTGGCGACAGCACCTATCCCACTGTTTGCACGGTTTACAGTCAACATTGCGGCCAAGACCACCAAGACCATCAGTTCAACCCGCAGGCGTATAATCCTGGTGGAGGCCCCAGAACGATTGATCTGGTACCCTTTTCTGGTCGTCGTTCTCGTCGTTTTGTTCGGTTGCGCGTCATTAAGCAACAACGCCCTCGCCGTTTAACGCCGCTAAACTTAATGTGATTGTACACACATTCGCCCTAAATTCCGGATGACTAAAAAAAACTAGCAACATAAGTAGGTCCGTGTGAAGTACCAGCCGCTGATACAAACGAGCGAGACGATGTGATGCAAAGCAGTCTGCAGTGTCGACCGCCAGGCTTTTATTTGCGAGCAGCTGTCTTGTACAGCGTAGCGGCAGAACCTTGCATACAGCCAGGATCATACCATTTAAGTGTACGCATTTCGCGATTCTCAGCTTCCAAGATCACCGAACTTATTAGCGGGATATCTTCCACCCGCGTCGGCAAGTTCGTGTACCTGTCATAACTTATTGTGTCTATAGATAGGCTGCCTGAATTACGGTTTCCTTTTGCCTCACCATCTTGCTGTGATGACAGGTAAGACCTGTGCCAACCAAACGAGGTCGCTCCCATCCTGTGATGATTTTAGTGCAATTAGGCTACAAGGACTTGGTGTGTGTTAAGGAATTCAGCGTTACCTTTGGGGACAGAATGTCCTTCGTGCACACTTCCGACAGCCGCCTTTTGAAACCGAGTCAACGTTTGCCCTGAAGCCAGCCAGCGATCCCTCTGAGATCTATGCTGTGGGCCTACCAAGTCCTTAAGCTAGGCGCTTTCCCAGCTCTCACGTCCAAACGTGACAACACTCCGACACGTATATCCCAAGTGCATGAATGTCATAAGACTCAAGCTCGTGCGGTTCACGTCAGCCTATGCATCTATGTACCTATCTGATGCATTTCTTCGGATCCTCCCCCCGCAATCACCAGGTTCCCGGTCCGCCAGCCCTGCGCGCCAGCAGTCCCATGTCAGGCTGCATCTCGGCCGCAGCGTCCCACGCGGCGGCGAGTGTTCATCTACACCTCCAGCATCGTTGACACACCCGAAATGGGCCTATCCATCAATCCAGCGCGAGTTTATTTGCAAGACGGGCAGGTGTACACTTCATAACAGTGCTTTCTTTGTTGGCGGCTCTGGCTGTCTGTGTAGACGGATCGCACTTCTGGCGCGCCCACCGCCAGGGCCCAGAACCGCAGGTCTAGAGCGAGTCCTCCCCAGTCCGTCCTCCCTGTGCACGACACTGCCCCTCTGTTCGGCTATGTGGACGTAAGCAGCGGGGACGGACGTTTGGGGCCACAGGCTCTCTGGGGGTGCACAGGGCCTCGCTGTCAGGCTTGCTTGGCAGCGTCCGTTTGGGGCCACAGGCTCTCTGGGGGTGTACAGGGCCTCGCTGCCAGGCTTGCTCGGCAGCGTCCGTTTGGGGCCACAGGCTCTCTGGGGGTGTACAGGGCCTCGCTGCCAGGCTTGCTTGGTAGCGTCCGACATGAAGTGCGCAGCAGCCGGCGAGGCCTTGCACGAGAGCTCAGGGAGCATTAAAAGCTGCTGTCCTAATTATCCACTTGTACCAATCATGCCCTCCCCCTGTGCAGACGGGTCACGCGGTGCATTGACTTCAGTTGCGCGGTCTGCAACTGGCGTCAAGGTTGCACCTGCATAACGAAATCAAATCGCGGAATGCCTGCCGTTTTCCGACGGCGAGGCGCTGCTCGGGTCAGATGGGTCGTGACACGAACCTGCGCCCGGCAGCTTGCTATTCGAGCCGGGAGCCTGTTGTCGCTGCGAACTTATGTCACCGCCGACATTCAATCAGTCAACGCTGGTTAATATCTGACGCAATGCCATGCTTACCACAACGCCCCAGACATCAAATGGCAAGCCACTCTCGCGGATGCACGAGCGACTTTTTGTTAAAAACTGAAAACTGTCTGAAAAAGGCACCTCTACAGACACCGGTTTGGAGTACCCGTTGCGAAATGGCTGGGCCGCGCGTCTGGGAAAGCGAGGTAACAGAGTTCAATTCCCCCATGGTACCCGCCCTTCTTGCCGAGGGGAGAGGCAAGCGACGCTATATGGGCCTCTGCAGCCAGGTGCATCGTTAAGCCCCAAACACAGCTCCGAGACTACCGCACGACACGCGACAACACTAGAACATGGCATGCAGCAAGAACAGGACATCAAGCAGCTCATAACAATACTGGCACCAAAATGGGCATTTTTCAGTGATTGGCGCTCTGAAAACAGCGCTGTGATCTCTCTCGGAGCGGCCACAGGCCCCAGTCGGATCACCGTGACTCTCAGCCAGGCACGGAGGTTCTGAATTTCAGTAAGAGTCGTGCGCGACTCGGAAAGGGGGGGGGGGGGGGGGGGGTGCATGACAGGTACCACGACATACGTGCAAACCACCTGGCTTAAGAGGCGCACGCCACTTGTGCGGGAGATTGTCACTACATGACTTACGCACACTCGGACCCTCCTGCCCACAGTGAGGGAGCCGGAGAAGGCTGTGCCCGTTTCTCCTCCCCCCCGCCCTCCCCTCCCTCGCTGCTGTGAGCCTTTGCAGTTATTGTTCCCATGACAACTGAACGTATCACCAAAATGGACGTTTTCCCGACATACTCCGGTAAGCGGTGGTTTGGTGGAGACCAAACCTTCACGAAAAATGGTTCTAGGTGGTCGCATTGGAGCCCCCTCCCCTCCATACACCATGTTTGATTACAAGACACAACATCATCCTCATAAGCGGGGGTGTCGATGAGTATTCTTTTGAGAGGGTCCTGTCCCCCGTCCTGAGAGTTTGCTTGTCCCCATTTTTGCTGGAACGCTACAAAATTAAGGAAACCATCAGATATGACATGAGACTTACATTTCCTGGTCAGCATTTGATGACCATGACTTCTATACAAATATGACAGGAATATAGCCACATTACATATATATATATATATATATATATATATATATATATATATATATATATATATATAAACATACTACATTATATTTGGCATAACACAAAATTAATACCCCACTGCTGCCATTGGTAAACAAGTCGGGATATATCTGTTGGGTGACCTACATTTGGAGAACATCAGCTGGTCAGGCGTTTGGTCGCCCAATCATTCGCTTACACAACACGTCTCTGTCTGTAACGTGTATATGACGTTGTGAGCGGAAGCATGCGAGCGGCAGTGCAGCCTATCAGCCACTGGGGTGCTGGCAGCGCTGGATAGCGGGGAACGGCCGGTTGACCAGAGCCTTCGACCTCGACGTGGGGACCGGAGTCACAATGCCAGTTGCATCATGACCCCTGGGGGCCAACGTGGCCACTAGCACGCCATAAAACCATGCGCAACATGTTGCATTCCCTTGGTAGAGAAAACAACGTCTTGGTCAATGATTCGTGCGCAATCCCATCAAACAACTGAATTTTGGGCTGACCATTTATTTTCCACCATCAATGACAGAGCACATGCATAGAAAGACATTTGAAATTATTGATAACAGTTTTGGGCCTAGGTTTTGGGCCAATTTTGGAGCTAAAACAAGCCTGAAAGCCTATGCACCTTGAAATCGCGCCCCTGGAGCACACGCACCACACACAACTTAGCTCATTGGTATGTCACTTTTCGGAAGCCTGATGAACCAAAAGCAGGACTAAAACTGACCATTCCCTGACAGTCAGTGAACACAGCACCATACAAAAGGGCGTAGGCTCCTTGTGTCATTATATGAATCCCAACACTGGTGAGTGCTATACGCAATGCAATGTCAAAGAAGTTGAGGAAGATATCAGCATGTTAACAGGCACAATATTCAAATGAAAAAGCTATCATTTGGTTACACTGATGTCTGCACACTTGAGCATGCCTTGCATTATGCATCTTAGGGAGCACTGAGCAACAGCTGATTGCAATATGATCCCCAAAAATCAGGTGATAACAGCAGCATGCACATCATGCTTGTACGATTCATTTACTACATTATGCTGACATAGCTCTTTCTGAAAATACAAAGATCTGAAATTGGCCAAAATTATAAAGATTTCTGATCCATACCCACACATTTGTGGAATGGAAATGGTGTAAAAAATTAATGAAATAACACAAATAATACGTTTTAAAAAATGTATTTGCCTCCACAGCACTGTCCCATCACCACAAAATGAGAGCAAACTACAGCCACGCCTAAAATGCCGTACTTCTGGCTCAAATAGTTTCTAAGATGGCTATGGCCTGATTTTGTCCTTCTGAGCATGTGAAATTTTAGCATTTTCTTCAGTGTGGATTTTAAAGGGATTAAAAATCCAAAAGCCAATTGAAAAATTATTATTTCAATATGTATAATGAAGTCACAATATCCCTTGGATTCACTAGCTTTTTTTAAAGATCTAGTCCAAACCTTTTAGATGGATAGATTTCTGGGATCAGAGCTCATGTTAAGCAGTGCTTGTTGTGTAATCCCTGAAAGCTACCATCTCATCATGCAATTACATAGCAACAGCAGAACTTGGTGGCAATGGTTTACCATGCCACAATGTTCAGCTCAGTCCACCATGCCCTCCAATGTCAACTGACCTTTAGCCAGCACAGCCCTGCCACTGGCTGCAGGACATGTCTATCAAGGTCAATTACAGAGTGCCTAAAGCGAACCTACCTACACCCTCCCCCTGCACACCAGGGGCAGATGGATCTGAAGGCAGGTGCTCCAACAAACTGAGTCACCTGGGTTGACAAAGCTTATTTCTCCACATCTCACTTCCCTTTTAACTGAAGATTTTTGCAAAATGCTAAGCTGGGTATGGTCATTATCAGATGGAAATTTATCAGCTGTTCCCACCTGCTCATGATTAAAGGTTGTTTCAAAGCATAATTCTGCTTCTTCTTTCTCTGGGGATGTTGCTGTTTATTGGTCTTTTAGGTAGACCTGACTGTAATGGACATTTTGCTTCACTTTCTGGGGAAAACTCAGGCCACTTACGCAGGACATTTCCAGGATAGTGTTGGGCATCCATCCATGTTTTGATGACATGTAAGAAGTGCATTTGAGCCCTGATAAAACATTTGTTAGATAATTGCATCCAATTTATCACAAGCATTGCACGCCTTAACATGAGTATTATAAAAAAACATAATAGGCAGTAAGGCTTAATGATGATCAATTATAATCTGCAAATGTCAGCTGAGCTGTGCTGCTAACAGGATAGTAAGGCAGAACCTATACAACCATGTGGATGCCCAAAATAATACAAAGCTGAGGTTGACACCATACCAATGAGCATAAAATTTGTTTTTGATTTTGTTTGACATCACACTCAGCTCAGTGATCCAACTGGGCAAAACATAGAAAATGAAACTGTGTGCCTAAAGACGGAATCAACCATGTGGTACCTATTTCAACGTGAGATCACTTATGCATGGTTTGATAGGTAAGCAATGGATAAATGCCCATTTCCAACATGCTGCTATAGTTCAGTGATAAACAGTCCATTAGTCAGCAAAGCTTAATAGCTCTGGCTGATCAACAACCTCAGCCATGCTAGAAATTGTGCTCAGGGAGCAAGATTTACATATGTAACATTGCACACAATATCAAAGCACTCATGCTTTGTCCAGAACACAGCAGCTAATTTATGCAAGCCATGCATCTCTGGCCACAGACTGAGTACAAGGCAGTCAGTAAGCATGAGCAGTATCAAAATGCATGAAGCATACAAGCCAAACCAGATTTGTAATTGCAAACAATTGGGCAATGGCCAACAAACTCTATGGTTCGCTGCCATCCTAACAGCATCACCCAAAGATCAACCACACATCAACTTTGGTGAACATTACCGAAAGGTTAAAATTACATCTCGGAACATCTCTTTTCACAAGCTGAAGCTCTAAAAGCATCCGGCCTCTCGTGCAGTGCCCACATGCTCCGCCGTGCACAAAATAAAACGCGAACAAAATAGCCGCGAACATCAACTGGTACCTTGGAGGGCGTTAGTCTCTTAGATTGATATCGATCACAGGTGAGCAAATGTTAGTCGCCAATCATCTGGGCACCATTCAGCGCCACCACCACCCGGCGCGCACTCAATCCCCACTGACCACAACCGCATTCAACCTCATCCAACTCGATAAAGAAGTTGCGCTTCACGAGTCAATCTTTTCGTGTTTCAATCACGGCGCAAGTTGTCTGCTCGGGCGATACAGCTCTAAAAAGCTGCATCTCACAAACAGCTAGGTCATGAGGAGTACGCAGTCGAGAAAGCTTATTGGTCGTGCCTTTCGTACAAGATAAATTCTAGTCCCATACAATGACATTTAAGCTCTTCATAACCCTAAACTGTGAAGAATTCTTATGTTTGTGTGCTTTCTTCAGCCTTAATGTATTTGCCAAAACTGCTGCCATAATTGCTGATTTGACTGCTGATTAAATTGTTGTCATAATTGCTGAGAGGTAATACGGTCAGGGACAATCTACGACACGCATCGCATCGTGCGTATCTACGTTGCACATGTCCTTGGTACTGTCCATGGTATGGGCCCGCACAGGATCAATAACAAAGTTAGCTTTTTAGAATACTAACGAACCGAAAGCCGAGGTAAACAAAAGGCACGCAGACAAAGTGCGGTATTAAAAGCCGAGGACTTCTGTGAACAGATGATAAATGAGTCAGGCGGACATTGCAATTTTCTGTGCATTTCATCAAGCATAATTATGTGGTGTTGATGACTTGGAGTTTAAGGCGCAAATTATGTGGTGTTACCTTCAAGATTTATAACATGTCCACAAGCACAAGTTCAAATGGACTTGGTGGCGTTATAAAACTAGGACGTTGGGCCGTACATAAATCACGTTACTAATTTCAAATAAATTTCCAACATCCTTTCCCCGTTACGTACTTGTTTCGCTGGGTGGAATTCCCTTTCCGTTACGCTGTGTTGAGCATAACGTTACTTTACCAGAAAGATAACATGAGTTTGCCCCTAATTGAGCTGCAGGTGCGTAAAAAGCCTGGGTTTTGTCTGTGAATGGTAAAAGCCGACGGCATCCTGCCCTTAAATGTTTTTAATGTAAGGATTATTTGCAACCACAGCTAAGTATTAAGTTACGCTGGAACCGCTTCGTTATGTCAGGAACTGCTTCGACGAGCATTACCGTCTACAGGGTCGCAACTTACCTGACCGAGCAGACACCTTTTGGAGACCACGTGTTCCAGTCATGTAAGAAAGAAGAGCACAGTGGCAAGACCAAAATTTCCCCAGGAGGACCCCAAATCTGGTCAGAGGAGCCATTTCAGTCAAAGGCATCCTTCTTCATCCCTGAGTATCCCGTTTTCGATATGGTGGACCCTTACACGCTCTGGATCCCATTTTGATGTCTCAAGAGTTCATCTTATTAAAGCCCTTCTGGCGTCTTGAATTGATCAAAATTGCAGGGATCCTTGTGAGGAGAACGCCACCGAACAAGTGCCGCAGTTCGTTCTGGCTATGCGTCACCGGTGCAAACACGAAGCTGACTGCAATACCGTTGAAGCATTGACCATTTATGTCAGTCAAAACAAACAATCGGATAGACTCATAATCATCACCCATAACAGCGTTATGACTGAAAACAGTTTAACTGAATTTCATGACGGAAAGTCATTGAAAATACGCCGATGTGTTATTGACCCATTCGAAATGAATGCAAAAGTATGGCCATCGCTTTCCTTTTTAAACGATGCTCTGCTAAGGTTATATAAAAAGCAAAAGCCGTGTATCAAATATTTTTGCAGATTTACTTTACCTTACATATCATGAGCAAAGGCGCCACACCTTTAACGATTCCTTGTGGTTTGCACACGAATTCATGCACATACGTCGCAAGTTTGTTGCCTGCCTTCTTGCTAATGTGAGTTGAATTTTCAAAACTAATAAACGCATACTGTACGGCTGCGTTCAAGAAACCTCGAATGACGAGCTGGGCAGACACAAGGACTGGGTGCCAGGGGCGCCAGGACATGGATGCGGAGTGCCCGGGTCGGGTCACAACCATATTACAACAATGGATGCCGCCTGGCGGCCGCAACCCTGCGCCACATCGCACGTCGCCTCCCTGCCGGGAGCACCTGTCTCTGCTTCCACCGCCACCTGCCGGCACCGGCCCGGTACTGCAGTTCGAGCAGAAGTGAGCTGCCGACGGCACTGTCGCGTGACTGCCGAATGCGGCAAGTTGTCTAAACTGATGATGACCCAGAATGCTCGGGAAATTATCGTCGGCCATGGGGCTGAAACACTGATTCACATTTTGCCAACCTAAAATCTAGGCAGCATCACTCGACCGTCGTTAGCCAATTTTCATTCGTTTGTCATCCGCTCCCCGTGGTGGGTGCGGGAGAACAATTTTTTAAAAGTTTGGTGTCTGACTGTAAAAGAGCATAGTTTTTGCAACCACCACGGTACATCACGTCTTGCATACGCACGTTACGCGACACAGACAAGTTCAAATCAGATCAGAGGAGCAGCGCGCCAGCTGGAGTTTCTATTACGATCTACATTTCATTGATGTTGCATGCTGCAAGCAGTTACCGAAAATTAAAACTACACCACAACTCAGTTGTCTTCCCAGTGCCGTAAAAAGAAACACCAATTTGCCGACACAAATTTTGGTTTCGCGTGCGCGCTGACGGGTCTTGGTCACGTTCCACTTCCGGCTCCCACCAGTGGCGTGTGGCGATTCGCGTGAGGGCCGCCAGAGCCCGCGGACTTGGCTGAGCGTCTCCGCTCAAGGGTAATCACACTGACGTCTTGCCACGGGTGCTTACGATTCTGGCAGTACATGAAATACAAGGTGAAGGGACACTTCTTCCTCCTCAAAATCGAGCAGGGGTGCAATAACAATGTCCCAGCACGAAGGACCGGGAGCAATCTTTGCGCTGAATTTATCCACGGGACACAATTGGCTTATACGAGCCTGTCAGCATGACCCCTTCCCGCCGTCGTTATCCCTGTTTCTAAGCCTATGGTATCAATATTGTGGGTGCGTACGCTGACACCGCACACGCCATGAGCAGATCGTCGTCGGTACAGCCTGCAGCGCGCCTAGGGTTGCCAGCGACACTATATTCAGTTGCATCTGCGCCCTAATATCTGAAGGTAAGCGCGGAGATAAGCCTGAAGATAAGACAGCGGCGAAAAAAAATATTATTTGTATTTGCGCCCGAATATCTGAAGACAAGCACGGAGACACGTCTAGAAATACGACAGAGGCAAAAATCCGCCATAACTCGTCATGACCCCGTGCTCTGAGAGAAGCTTCTTCTGCTGGCGCGTGCGACCTCGCTGCCAAAAGTGCCTGACCATACGATCTATTGGTCGGGAACTTTTGGGAATCCGCCTGCACCCGACAATCTTGTCCACTACCACTACCGACTGTAACAACTGTCGCTTAGCAATCGCTGAATGTCAATGCAGTGTGTCCCACTCAGTCTGACAACCGCATCAGTGCACCTAATTTTAAAGCACCGCCATTGCCTACCAAAGTGCAGATGAAACCTCCCAGCGGTGGGCGGACATTCCACCTGGTGACAGATAAACAACATCCCTTTTATTGCAAGAAGGAAATACTAGGTTACATCGAGGCGCGGCACGTTAGCCCCACTTCTTGACTGGAGATGGGGAATGAAGAGAATGATGCTAACAGTCACACAATGTCTCACTGCACGCTGGAAACAACTACCCTTGCATTATACCATGAAACTATCACTACAATAATGGGCCAATGATTACTTTCAAAGAACTCGTCGGCAACGACGATGAACTTGGCACGATTAACGAGGAGCCAAACGAAAAGGGCTCAAGTGAATTAAGTCGAACAAGCCCGCCAGACTAGCCGTCCCCGCATCTTCCAGACGTTTGCAACGACGGAAAGAGTGGTGCAGTCGATCCAACATCACAGCCTAATCCCGGTACGAACAGCCAACGCCTGGCTGACACAGAGCGGCGTCCCCCGCTGCCTGAAGAGCCCCGAGCACCGCACACCCCCGCAGATCCGGCCGTTAGCGGCGCGCGCCGCGGCCGCCCTCAGAGCAGCTTGAACGGGCCGGTGACCTGGTCGACCAGCACGTCCTCCCCGAACACGCCCAGCACGGTCCTTGCACCCTCGGGCACCTGCGGAAGTCAGGCCGGGTTCGGAGGTCAGGTGAGCACCTGTGGAGGTCACGTCGAGTTCGGAGGTTAGGCGGGAGACGCCGTGCGGCGCCGGCCAGTCCGGTTGGTGGATGGCCCGCGCGCGCGCATGGACCAACAGCGGACCGAATTGTCTCGTGCAGTGGTATGCTGCAGTGGCAGATATGTTTAAGTTTTGCCACTCTCCAGTTCAGTAAACCGTAATGAGAGGCGTTCGACACGGTGAGCTGGCACGTGGCCCCGTTTGAGCAGCTTAACGCGCGCTGAGGGGCGACATATCGATCCATGCTAACAGGTGCCAATAATCATTCAAAACATCAATCACACGTGACGTGTTGACGCAAAGCAGGCCCCGATCAGTGTTTCGTCCGCACCCATACATACAAGCGCAGCATTTAACGGTAGAGCTTTGCTAGCCTGCATTACATTGCCAATTCAGGTTGCTGGACTGAAGAGTACATTTTTCTTAAGTCCGCCTGTTAATCGTACAAATTTGTTCAAAACCACAAGAGCAATATGGTTATGATGCAGAACAATATCAGTCTTATAGTTAAAGTAGCTTCGTCTGCAATTCGATTATCCCTTTATTATCCTTTGTTCTTTATTATCTTATCATTCATTGATTATCTAACTTTTAATCATGTAGCGGGTCACATGAAGACAAGTGGGAAATCTTCGAGCAGAAAGTAGAGCATGACTCCCAAACGGAGAAAGTCGAGCAGCTGGTCATCTTTTCATCGCTAACTCACGGATGAATCGGACTTACCAATGTCCACATTATCGGAGTAATGAATATGGCGAGACAGATTCAAGCAGGCGGAGTGTCGCCCGCCTTTTACATGGGAGAAGACTGCAGTCCTCAAGTATCTACCTGTGTGTGTCCAGCATCCTCCACGATCCACGCCAGCAATCCGATGTCCATGGCCTTCGAGTACAGCGACAACAGGTCTTCTGTAGAGTTCGCCTTCAGAACAATTTTCTTCTCCCTAAAAACAGGAAAAGAAGATCGACGAGTGCTGTGTCTTGGTAGTGCCAACATAGCACATCTGAGAAAAACAGCCCAAAACGTCGCGACTTGATTGGGTGAAGTTAGCAGACGGGATACAGACCAACTAGCCAGCTAGGAGTCCGGCCGATGCCGCCCGAAGAGCGAGCCACGTCTCTCACACAGATGCCCAATGCCTGACGCTGGTAAGACATGGACGGAAACACGGCAGTTGACACCTGATGACTGAGTTCCACACGAGACTCCAGCAACACGCCAGGAGCGCTCACCCATCCTCCTCCCAGTCCTCGGCCGCCTCCGTGAACTTGTCGTTGCTTAGCATCATGCGATGCAGGCTGATGGCCGCGTGCCCCACCTGAAGCAGGCCCGGGCTGCATTACCCCACTTTGTTGACAAGTTTGGAACGAATGACGGCCCTTTGGAAAAGAACTGGCTAGAACAGCGCACATTTCACGCATACGTTCGGCACGTTCATACCGACAGCTGCACTTTGCGCTCAAAGACAGCTTTCCCCGCCCAGAAGAGCAGAACACAACACCTCTCGAGAAGACCGGAGCATGATCGTTATCAAGGATTACACAGCAGATTACATTAGGAGAGGAAACACGGACTGGCCCTCTCATCAAACTCCTCAGTGGGAGACCCGGCCCCTACCTCCATACACACACCTGCGCGGCTATCTTTCCAACACCCATGCCGAGGCCGGAGTTGACCACGAATACCATCTTGTAGTCGTGGTCGTCCGGGCTGTCGGTCAGTTCGGGATCGAACGGCTCGTTGACGCGGTTGGACGGCTGCTCGAAGATGTAGGCCGCAGCTGCCTGCACTGACTCGTTGTCGGTGTGGTACAGACCCTGTTGGCCGGTCGCGGACGGTGACGCACGCTGTCCGTGCTCTTTTGTCTTCACAGTCTGGGGCTCGGCCAATGCATTGGAAGATGATGGCACAAACCCTTGCTACTAGATGAAGGGGATCATAATGCATCTTATTCATGACTGATTGGACAAGAAATCACACGAGTACAGAGAGTGGTGCTGAACGTGGGTAACTGTTCACAGGCAATAACCTGAGCTCTTGATGGCACTGTGACTCGACATCAAATGGGCACCATCTGTGCCTGCATCATGAGTTTTGCAAGTCAGATTTCTTCATTAAGTATTTTTCCACTATTGCAATTAACATACTTCCATGACAATGGTAGTCCGGCATGCTTTGGTGGTGGCGCAACCATGTTAACTTCAACAATGATGTCTTACCCGTCTGGCCGCATTTTGAGATATGCCCATCTCTAGCAATGCTTGGAGAAACTCTTCATTGGGCTCCCAAGGCTCATCAGATGATTCATTGTCACTGGCAGAGATGTGATCATCTCCATCACCTGACATCGTCTGCAAAAAGAGATGAACATTTATACACAGTCTCACAAGTCATTACTCGTTATGTTTAATGGCACAGAGAAAAGCAGCAGTGCCTGTAAAAGCTCCTGCTTATTGCTGCCCCTCACCAGCATAGGCATAGGGCTGGCATAAGTGTATGTTCTCCATTTCGTTTTCCTTTGGAGGCGTACCCTAACATGCCAAAGGGCATGGGATTTTATACTGCTGAAAAGATGGAGCTCATAGACTTTCTTTCTTATCTGCTTATCTTAGGCAGATAAGGCTACCTAAATCCCAAAGGTAGCCTTATCTGCTCCCAGAAGCAGCACTAAACCTGCCAGCACAAACTTGTCTGAAATGGAAATCAAATCAGAAGACTAGGGTTATCAGTGACATCATTACTCAGCAATGCATAGCAATCAAAGCTGAGTGTAACATGCATCACAGTAGGGGAGACAATTGTTCAAAACTGCTTTACCTATGCTCTGCTCAGAAACTAAACATTTAGAAAATTAAAATATATGCTTCAACCTAGTTTTACATGATCTCATATCAATACTACCAGATATCTTACTTTTGTAAAAGTTACAAAAGTGCAACTGCCATATTTTACCTCCAGCAAATGCATAAAGCTGACCTGAGATGACAGGACCCTGTTTTGGCCAAATAGGTAAGGGTAAAGGCTTCATCTGATCATACCTCAATCAAATGACATAATCTGTTAGCTGTGACATAGCATATATGAGGACAGCTGTGTAACAGGTGCCCTTATGAAAAACAACAAATCCCATTCAAAGCAAAATTTCCCCAAAAGTTATTATCCTCTGCAATACTCACAGGCAGTGCAATACATTTGATATGCAATCCATTTGATAAAACACAAATAATTTCAACCACTTGAAATGTCACCAAGTTCCCCTACATGCAACATACCAAAATTAGGATTCACATACTGGAAACTTTGGGTTCATAACTTAAAATGGAGGCAAAAGTACAATTCATTCATTACAAAACATTTATAACCTAAAAACACTGACACTGACAGCAAATGCTGAATGAATTCCAAACTGATGTTCACAACCCAAGGGTAACACTGCAAAGAAATAACTGTTATGCTGAACTTGCCCAGCAAAGCTGCATGATCACAGCAAAAAATTCCAGACACATACTCCATAGCTCAGAGTACAACACAGCATACGACATGCACCACAATTATTAACCCCAGAATAACTTAAAAATTCACCACAAACTAGCCAGACCTCAGTTCAGCAGTGCCAACACCAGCTTCAGAGCTCTCATGCGTGAAAAACTCCAGCGAAGTGGAAGGATCATTTGCAGCCAGGCGAATAACCGACACCCAAGCGGCGTAATGAAACGCCCACCATCACTGTAGTGTAAAGAAACCTCACCGGTCCTGGAATTCCACCCGTTCTGTACAATATGCACCACAAAGGAATGCGAAAGGCAGCCAGAGAACCCCTTAATAAGACCCCTTCCACCAGCGCCCGGCTCGCACCACCCTCCCGTCAAAATCCGCGACTGAATAGGTCTCGACAACCGTGCGCACCCCGCTCGTTGACGTGAGTACATTGGCAAGGCCGACAATGGTAACGAGTGCGTTATGAACGTATAAAGCAAGCATTACATTTTGTAAGATACCTCTAATTCACTGTATGTTCTGTAGGATTCTGAACGATCGACCAACCTTGATTTCATTGCTTGTGCATCGCAACATTATGACATATATATTACAACATGTATTATGGGCATGTGGAATTTCACCAGCCGCAGTTAATTTGATGATCTCATATTGCCACATTGAACTTCATTTCAGTGCATAGCGAGAGGTACTGATAGTGCAGTAGAAGGGACTGTCCCACATTTGAAGATGCTGGGGCAAGCCTAAAGTATGATGAAATAAAGCTCACTTGTAACTACAAGTATGCCTTTAAGTGCGACATACTGCTCTGGATAGCCCATTTTCACTTACTGGTATCCTATGACCCATTTCGATTTACGGTCTATGTCCACCATGATCTACGACCTAGGTCCACTACCATCTATGTTCACGAAGCTTGGTACAATCCAGAAGAAATGTCGCAGCCGGAGTGCTATCGGCTTAGAAAGAAAAAGTTTACCAAACGATTGGACAATTAGCAACACCGGCGTTTATGCTATACAATCAGTAAGCGTCAATCATTTATTGTGTTCATAACATGAACAGAATTGCATCTTTTGATGCCTGCTGGCTTCTGATCCAGTAAAAAAGGCACATAGCGAAATAAAACGAAGAAATTTGTGCCCCTCACGAGCAGGTGGCTATATCCATTAATTTTTTGGTAATTTCACAAGGAGGGTCGGTTGTCAACACAGCGTTCCTCCCCCCCCCCCCCCCCCCGACAGTTTGCCAAGATTCTGGCTGCGCCCTCTTCCCCACGCCTAGCCAGCGATTTATCGCGGTCCCAGTTGGGCAGATCTTACAGCAGTGCAGTCTGGCCTGAGCACTGCCCGTATCCAGCCCGTCGCATAAAATGGATTAGGCTGCGGTGTGGTTCAGGTAGCACCAAGCTTAAGCTTGGTGCTGCCTGAGCACTACATGGACGACTACTAAAGCACTACGTGCCCAGCTGGGCTCAATTGAGCCTTGCTGGACATGTAGTGTTTTTTTCTGCGAATGCTGTCACATGAAGTGAGTGGGGTCTAACTGGGCTCGGGTCGGTTGTCTGATGGTACTCTAATTCTAGCACAACATTTGCCAGAGCCGCACCACAGTGGCAGTCGTGCGGGTGGTGGTGTGAATATTGTGTCATCATGCGCGGCCTTTCCTTTGAGCTGGGAAACCAAACCAAGGCGTGAATCAAAATCAAGCATTCAGGCAGGCTGCCAGCATGCTTCTTAGGGCACTCGTTTGGCAACATGGGACAAGAGTTCAAAAGTCGTATTTGAACAGCGGATCCAAAATAAAAAAAGACATTCCGGTTACGTTATCAGTTCCCCAGCAAGTTCTAAACTATACCTGATATGTTGTAGTTAGTTATTGGATACGTCTAATCACCTACATTACCCAATAGTGATGACCAAGAATTAGAAGGCCACTTATTGGTGATTGAGACAATTAATGATTACTTTAACGATGTGATCAGTGTGTGCTCACACTGCCTAGTTTTAGAGACCCTAGTTTTAACTTATTCAACTGCGAATGACGATGATATTACCGGTTAAAAGCATTCTAACGATTTACGACCCATAAGCTGAATGAGTTCCGATGTACGAAGGTCCTGGCTTGAGAACTTCCCAGGTTAGTCACTTTCGAGCCGTGACTCCTAATCACTTCCGAGTCTTACTCGCCCACCGGCAAAATATGCTTCTATGAAACATCTGGAACACGGCAACAATGTCTCCCTTGCGATGTCGGTAATGCAGGTGCAGTTGGCTGAACTTACAGCGTAAGTGGAACGCGCAGGCCCCATGCTGTGCCAATGGTTCGGACAATGTGCTATGAGACTGAATGCTAGCAAAACCCAGCTCCTCGTCATCGGCACTCAGCAAATGATGCGGCGTGTGCCGCCCGTCTCAATCCGCGTCATTCGGTGTTTGATGGCCAGTGGATGATTTCGTACAAATGAACTTCCGAAACGAAAACGTTTGATGGCTATGCCGCATTTCATTTAGTTTGTCTTTGTTTTTGTGGTTTATCTCATCTAGAGGTGCATTACGGCGGTTTCTGAAAGATTTGGCTCCAGGTGACAATTTAGACGTTGCCAAATTTTGATGGTGACAGAAAAGACACTTTTCACAGCTGCTGAGTTGCATTACTTGGCACGTGGATGCGTGGAATGGGAGCAATCGCATTCCTCCGACCATTTCACCAGGCCATCGAGGACAACATGGAGAGGAAAGGCGGCAAGGGGGCTCGGAAATCGGCAGCTCACCTTAGTATCATCCGCGAACATTTTGACGGCGCATGGCACTTCTAGTAAATCGCTAACGAAAAAAAAATGGGTAGGATTGGTCCCAGCACCAGTCCGCGAGGGGTACCGCCGGCGACGTCGGACCAGAAAGAAAAAAAGAGCCATGGACCCGCATTCTATGCTGGTGGATGAAAGCAGACTTCAACTTCACAACTTTGTCTATAAATTTAAAGAGCTGCGGGATATTGCCCAGGTTCAAGCGTTATGCTTTGAAAGTTCTCCCAGCATTTTCAAACTGGCATGCGATATGACAGAGATGATATGGAAAAGGACGAAAAACCCTTTTACACTAGCATTATTAGACAAAGGTCTAAGTTGGTACCAGATCACGAAAAAGCGGGATGAACAGGGGCGAAACTGACCGTGTGTCGTCAGATCTATCAAAAAAAGACGATAAGAAGCGGGAGCCCCTAGATGATCCAGGAAAGGCCCCATATGGTACGTTAAAGGCGCAATAAAAACACAAACAGCCCAGGAGGCAAGGATTAACAAGTCATGAGATCTCGCCAGGCTGAGCGGTGTCTGGGCTTAAGCCTATATATATATATATATATATATATATATATATATATACATCTCTCTCTCTCTCTCTCTCTCTCTCTCTCTCTCTCTCTCTCTCTCTCTCTCTCTCTCTCTCTCTCTCTCTCTCTCTCTCTCTCTCTCTCTCTCTCTCTCTCTCTCTCTCTCTCTCTCTCTCTCTCTCTCTCTCTCTCTCTCTCTCTCTCTCTCTCTCTCTCTCTTTGCATCGGTTTTTTAGATATGCTCGTCCTATGAGTGACGTCGGTAACACTGCCTTTGTCCATCGCATGAGGGCAGACTCAGAAACCCACCTCTCGTTAAAAGAAAAAAATTAATAAATAAAAATTTAATTTAAAAAAACTGATTAAGGCTTGGTTCGGGTTTAGCCCCAGAAACATCTCGGGATCATGACAGCGTGCACTAACACAAAAAAGATTTCGAGATGGTGTAAAAATTTGGTTCATGGGTACATTACTCATGCCCATATTTGGCACGTCCCCACATACCCCGACATGAACATTGTGTGCGTTTACCACCGATTGGATTGATATTTTGTGACGCAGACATTTTATATCAAAGGTGTAGGTTGTTCGGTAGTCAAGATGTGATTTTCTCGATTATCAGATTTCACGTTTATTTCCAACGTCCACCAATTACATTTCAGTTTTTTCAAGATTAGGCCGCCGACACTAATGATAAATGGGGTACTGCGTCGATTTCTTTCGCTGAATAAAGTGAGCTGTCCATTGCATGCAACGTGGGATTTTTACATGAGCTTCGAGCGTATCCTAGTCATCACATCTGTCATGCATGTTTCTGTTCTCCGCATTTTTATGACAATGGAGCCATAATAGCCTTACGTGTTGTAGACTGCCTGCGATTCAGTACTAGCTACTACTACTACTGATGTAGGGTGTGGGTCACCGATTGTTCTAAAACGCGTAGGGTCGTAAATGCTCTCAAAGTGTATCTCAGTATCCATCAGTGCTGCAGTGTGTCCTTATCGCCGAACAGTGTGTGACGCGACTCGCGACACTTTGCGACGTTCGGTGACGCACCCGTCACTTCGGAGTGATGAACCCGGACGGCACATCTCCCGCACCCGGTGGCTCCGGCAGCTCACCGACACCAACTGCAGCCGGCCTTCCCGCCGCCGGCGGGCCCCAGACCCCCGCAGCAGAACGCGGAGCTCGGGCTGGCCCAAGTGGACTGCGCCCTCGGCGTCGCGGGGGTGGCGGACGACCTGGCCCGCTACCGGGTGCTGGCGTCGTCGCTGCCTACGGACGTGGCGGCCCAAGCGCGAGACGTCATCACCAGCCCAGCACTAACATACGCGCTGCTGACATCTGCTCTGCGCCAACGTTTGGCGCACTCCAGGACGTCCCGCCTGGAGGCGTTACTGCGGAATCAGCAGCTGGGAGACCAGCGCCCGTCCCAGCTCCTGAGACGGATGCATGGCGAGCTGTCAGCGGCCGGTGATGCCCCAGCGGACCAGGGCCTGTTGGGGACGCTTTTCCTCCAGCGCTTGCCCCAAACAGCCGCTGCTGCTCTCTCCACGCTGGACGAAACAATGCCACTGGAGAACCTGGCCCGTGCGGCAGACCGCTTCACGAAAGCATCAAGGCCGGTGTACCAGCCAGCCAGCCTGTCTGCCATCCAGCAGCCAGCGCTGCTCACACCACACGCACCAGCCCTAGTGACTGAGCTGTTGGCCACTGTGGCTAGCCTGACTGCCACCATCAGCGAGCTCCAGATGGAGGTCCGCTCCATGCGTCAGGAGAGGGCCCACAGCCGGGACAGGTCAACCCTTCCTTGCAGCCGCTGCCGCAGCCAGAGCCGTGAGCGACCCAGCTACCACCGCCAGGAGAGGTCACCATCCCGTCGGAGGGGTGGGGCCTGTTATTATCACGCACGGTTTGGCGCTCAAGCCAAGAAGTGCCAGGCCCGGGTGGCTGCTTCATGTCAGCGACGATGACACCACCTACATGATGGATACTGGCGCGCAGGTCAGTGTCTTACCGACTTCGCAGCTACCCGCGGGAGCTAAGCCGGGGTCCACCAGCC